AGACCCCGTCCTTTAGAAACTGCCCATCCTGTCTCTTTAACCCAAAGGCCACGTGGGCATGGGCTCGGCAGCCTCCGTCTGTCTGCTCTGCAGTCACCGGACCTGTTTCTCTAAGCATGTTGGTCGAAGTGCTTTTGATACTCGGGAACAGAAATGTTGTTATGCCAGTTCAAGGAAGTCTGGGTTTGCGTGGGGTCCATGGATGTAAGGAGGTGTGTAAGGATGCTGTGAGTCCCCAGGAAAGGCCCAGCTCTGGGGTGCCAGGGAGCCCGGGCGGGCCTGGCTCTCCTCTCCTGTGTCCCTCACCACAGCCTCCCTTGGCTCTCTGTGACGAGTGCCTTCCCTGTGCCCCTCCTCTGAGGACTGCTCTTCCTTACTCATCCCGTGGGTGACCTAGTGTGGTCAGCCCACGATGGAGTCCCACGACCCTGCACTCACCCCAACTGCCACCAGCTCTGAGTCGCTTCATAAAAGGTCTTCTCGTGAGGAAAGGTGATGGGGTACCAGACAGAGGCTCACAGGTCAGGCCGCAAGGACGGGCAGGGCCACCAGGAGCCAGGGCTGCCCATTGGGGCTGCAGGGAATGTGCCGAACAGCCAGTTGGTTGGTATGGGTTGGCTGCTGCTGTCCCTGGATCTCATGCCTAAGTCCCCACCTGGAAGGACAGGCCAGAGGACACCTGTCAGAAGGTGCCCCAGCCAGCCAGCGCGTCCAGAGCCCCGGGTCCCCCTTCCTGGGCTGCTCGACAGGAAGGGGTCAAGGCTGGTCGAGCCGTGAGCAGAGCCAGAAAGCCCAGTCAAACTGTGTGTGCTCTGGTACACCTGTCTCTCTTCCTTGTCTTGATCTGCTGTGGATCGGTGCTGTGAGCTTGGGATTCCCCCCCCCACCTCCATGTTTGCCTTTCTGGAGTCAAGGGTAGCTCCCTCCCCAAGACACAGGGAAGCAGAAGAGCTGGGTTAGATGTTTGTTCAAGCTCTGGAAATCCCACAGGTGGGAAATTGGAAGTTCTACAAAAGGAAAATCAGGTGCCGAACAAAATGTGGTAGAAAGCCATCCGGGGCACTCGGCAACTCAGGACCCACTGGCGACTTGCCCTGCAAAATGTAGGCTTCCAGAGCCAGCAGGGACCGTGAGGGCCATGGGCAATGGAGGTGGCTGGTGTCGAGGTTTGTGTTAAAGCGACACGTTCTGCATGACGCCTCCAGAAACCTGCCCTCCTGTGTCGCTCCTCCTGCCCTGACAGCAGGTGTGATTAACAGCATATACAGATGGCGGACCGGGGCTCCAAGTGGTCACGGTCTTCCCCAAGGCGGGGTGGTGTGTGAAAGGGGATCCGGTGGGCAGAAGGCGTAGCTGGTGGGGATGGACACTGGGCTTCCCGTTCCTGTTCCCGCTGCTCCTGCCACAGCTGTCCTTGGAAGGAGGCTGGTCCGAGTGCAGACCCCGAATGACCTGGGAGCCCAGGTGCTGTGGCCAGGTGCGTGCGCCGGCTGGCGGGGCCAGCGGGGGCCTCTCTGGCTCCGACCCCAGCATGGGGCAGTTACGGGGCGGCGGGAAGTTTCCAGAAATTCCCACGGACATTCCCGGGACGCTGCTGCACAAGAAGCAAGGTCAGTGTCCAGCAGGCGAGAGGCCCCCTGAATCCTCATGTGTCTCTCGCCTTGCTCTCTTATCCCGGCTCCCAGTCGAACCACATGAAAGGGTCTGGCAGCTCGGCCGTGCCGATTTGGGAGAGCCAGCCCTCACTGCCTCAAGCTGGGGGAAGCACAAAGTCTTTGCTTCTCTGCTGACTTGCTGCTTGCACATCCCCCTTCCATGTTTCCTGTTACCAACACTTGTTCTTGGCACTTCTTCGCTGGACAAAGCACTTGCACAGTGATTCGGCATGTGAACAAAAAGCCATGTGGCCTCCTGCCAAGGCGGCCTGGGGGTCTCCCAGGCTGAGCAAGCCTCTCCCAGAGCCAGGAGCACCTGAGCTAAGCTGAAGGGCTTCTCGGGCCGCGGGTGGAGAACGCCACAGTCCCAGCACGGCCGCCGCCTTCCGGGCGCACCCGCCACTGCGCCCCCGCCTCTCCCCTGCTCGGCCCTGCTGACGGCGTGTTCACTAAGGTACCAGCGTGGCTCGCATGCAGATAGAGTGACCCCACGCCAAAGTCGTCCTTAGCAGAGCGAGGGAACTAGTAAGATGTTACAGCCAGCTCAGAAGAGAAAGCAAAGAAGCGTAGACTCGTGTGCAAGAAAGGAATCCCGAGACCGATCTACAGGTGACAGGGCATCACCTCCCAGCGGACACACAGCGGCATCCCTTCTGTTTATTCCAGATTTCCTCACAGCCTCCTGGCCGGTAGTCAAAAATAATCTCAGAGAAGGGTTCTTCTGGCTCACGAGCAGCACCGGCCTGGCAGGGTTCGGCCGGGCCGTTTGCAGGGGGCAGCGAGAGCGTCAGCATGCCTGCTGGGCCCGCCCGAGTCGGCCTCGCTAGGAGGCCCGTGGTTGCGTGTCTTAGAGCTTCTGGGATTTGCGTTCCAAGGCTGGGAAGGCGAGCCCAGCACTCCATCCTCCAGAGGCAAGAGACTCACAGACGTGGGTGAAGCCACGGCAGACGACCACGGCAAACGCCCCGCGTCCCCTGTAAGGCCCCCTGCCATATGCACTCTCATCCTCCAAGCGTGGGCATGGCGATCCCGTGGAGTAGTCTGTGTTTCAGCCACAGAGTTAACGGTCTGGACACAGTCCGAGCGAGGTGGTCAGAGGCCGGTCCCCAGGAGTCTGGCCCTCAACGCGGAGCAGTGCGTCCTCCTCCCTCGGGTCTGAGGTGGTCCTCCCCAGCCAAGTCCCAAGCTGGCCTGTAGTGATGGCAGAGGCTTGGGGCAGGTGTCGCGGGAGAACGGAGCCCTCGGCTGCCTGGTTCTGCCCATTCCACGGAAGATAAAGTTGACGCACAAAGACACTTGCACAAGGCCACAGAGGAGCCGCCCCTCCCCGGCAGGAGGGACCCCACAGCGCGGGTGTCAGCTGCTCATCCGGGGAGCCTGGTAAACAAGATGCAGGGGGCCAGGGCCCGGCCCAGATGCCCGGCTTCGGAATCCTCATGCCAGGGCCCGGAAGTCGGCAGCCCCAGCCGAGGAGCATCAACAGCATCTCCCCGGCAGGGCCGGGGGTCGGTGGGGAGCAGCTCCCTTCCCCTCTGCAAGCCTCCTCCTCCACTCACCCCTGCCCTTCACCAGCACAGTCAAAGGTTCAGCTGAGAAAGCAGGAGAGCCGTGCCAGGGGGGGAAATGGCCAGGACCCCAGCCTCAATCCCCCCACCCCTCACCCCTCACGGCACAGCTGGAAAAGCCGAGGCACGACTCTGGCGCTCAGGCCTGTGCTGGGGCCACTGGGGACGCGCTGTCGTGAGAACGCAGGCCTGGCACATGGTCAGATAAAGTCAAGGCTCCTCTGCAGGGGGGTGGGGAGGCTCTGTCCTGTGGCCAGGCGCGGGGAGAGGGGCATCCAGAGAGGGGAGGGGTGGCACCGAGCGAGGGCCTGGGGAGGGGCTCCATGGCCCGCGGGGAAGGTGGGATAGGTGCCTGGTGAGGCCCCAAGCTGGAAGGGACAAGCCCTCGGCCCCCACGTGCCCAGCCAAGGAGGTGGACCAGCTGGGCTTGTGGGGCACGCGGGACAGCAAAAGTCTCTGCACAGAAAAGTGGCATGACTGGGTCTGAGTACCAGGGCTGGGAGCTGGGGGGGACCAGGAGCGGGGACCGGCACAGGGGCCGCGGCAGGATCCCGGCTGAACCAGGACGGCGGCGGCCACCAGGTGCACAGGGCGGACCACCGATGCATATCTGCACGTGCAGATATGGTAGAGAGAAGGTGAGCTAGCTCGGTCTCAGCGTGGTGGGGCCAGCAGCAGGCAGGAAGTGGTGTCAGTCACAGGAAGGCTGGGTGCATGGGGGAGAATAGTCACTGTCCCCATGAAGGGATATCCTGAGGCTCTTAGATGAGAAAGCGGGGCTCTGGGCACCGGAAGGTGCCCGCCCTTCCCAGGGGTGAGGGGAAGGGGCAGTCAGCCAGGGAAAATGTGGAAGGAAACCCTCTCCTGGGGTGGAAATGGGGGCCGTGGTGTGGATGGTTCACGCCCCATCAGCCACGGAGATCAGAGCCCTCGCTGTACTTGAAGCCCTCTCCCAGGGAGGGATTTGGAGCAGAGGTGCACCATCGGACCCCCTGCACCAAAGATGCTGATGCAAACGCGTTTCTCTCCCGTCCCCAGGACTGGACCCCCAGGCTCTGTGCACCTGCCAGCACGTGATGGTTTTTACCGTGGAGACGGCCAGTTCACTTTGGAGTTTTCCCACTGTGTTGCCCCTTGGATTTAGTCCTACAGCCTCAGCCCTCGAAGTCCATAAAGGCAATCTTTGTTTTTTAAGCCAATGACCTTTAAAAAGATATTTTGGGAGGGCCTGGGATGGCTCAGTTGGTTGATCATTCGACTCTTGATTTCGGCTCAGGTCATGATCTCGGGGTCGTGAGATCGAGCCCCATGATGGGCTCTGTGCTCAGCGTGGAGTCTGCTTGAGATTCTCTCCCTCTGCCTCTGCCCCCACTTGCACGCTCTCTCTCTCTCTCCAATAAATAAAAATAAATCCTTAAAAAAATAAAGAGTTCTTTTGTTTTTTACATCATGGCCCCCAGGTCTCACTGGAGACTCCCCGAGGTGGGGTGTCATGAAGCCATGTGGCAGCACCGTCCTGAGTGGGTGTGTCTCGTGGGTGAGAGCTTCACCCTCAAGACCGTTTTCAGGAAACAAACGAAGGAAGTCTTCAGTTTGTATGGACAGACTCAGTGACAAGACATACGTGTGGCATTCCCGGGCCCATGGTTACGTCGTCTCTTTTTTACGATAAGCCTGCAGGTTGGGCCGGAGAGAAAGCTCGGGGACCCTGACGTCGCCATGGAAACCCGCTACCCAGCTCTGGCCCGCCCCTCATGGCCCTGTGCCTTGTGTCTTGCAGGTGGTCTTTAGCAAGTACTGCAACTCCAGTGACATCATGGACCTGTTCTGCATCGCCACCGGCCTGCCCCGGTGAGTGGTCCGGACCGCACCCCCAGCAGGGCGCCCCCACCAGCAGGGTGCCGGTTCGCCTAGAGAGGAAGGTGCCTGGGAGGGAGGGTGAGCCGCGGGTCTGAAGGGTGACAGGTGGCCCAGGGCCCTGTGGGCTCACCTTGAACGCAGGGGCCCTTTCCGATCAGTGAGTGAGGCCCCACAGGTGTGGGCCACGGCCTGTCCCCAGCCTGCCAGACCAGCACCGCGCTGTGCAGGCAGGAAACCACTGGGCGGAATTAGGCAGAAACCACTGTCTTAAGAGGGTTTCTTTTTCCTTTTATTTATTTATTTGCTTTTGAAGAAAGGACAGAGGAGAGTGGTTGTGTTTTGGCTTTGGCCCCCCAGCCCGAGATGATCCAGCAGGTGATATTTTCTGTCTCGGGGGTGGCGGAGGGGGTTGCCACAGAGCAACGTTTGGGAAGACAGATTTACAGAAAGTAGTTGGAAAGGCCAGTAATCCCCTCATAGAATCAGCAGACTTCCAGAAGAGTCTTTTTCCCCAGTCGGCAGCCTGTTCGAGCGCAGCTTCTATCCTCACTTTCTGACTGTAGAATGGCCAGGGGTAGCCGGGGTGTGGCATCTAACTCCGGAGCTGTGACCCGGGTCGAGGGCGGGGACCGGTCGGCAGCAGTGTCACAGGCAGGGAAGGACAGGCCGAGACGCCCTCTGGAACTACGGCCAACAGCAGTTTGTAGCTGCAGAAACAGCCCGCAGCCTGGGGCGTCTTTGAGCTTTGTGCTAGGAAATAGACACCGTTCTTGACAGCACCCCGAGATTCGGGCGTCACCCCCAACGCACGCACCCGGAGACCACAGAGGCTTAAATAACGTGGTCGAGGCCACACCGCTCGCCCAGAGGCCCCAGGGATGAGAGGTTGTGGGGAGACTCTGCCTCCCCGCCCGAAGGTGCTTCCTAGGAGAGGCTCCCCCGCGCCCGTGGCTTCCTTCAGAATGGACAGAGCACTGGGAATTACGCACGGCCACCTGTGTGTGCACAAAGGCAGGGCCATGTCCTGGGGCCGAGCCGGCCCCAGTACCCATGCGGTTGTCCCCTGCGCCATGGGGACACTGACACAGCATGTCTTCCAGGAACACGACCATCTCCCTGCTGACCGCGGACGATGCCATGGTGTCCATCGACCCCACCATGCCCGCCAATTCAGAACGGTAAGCGGCGGCCTCTCCAGCACTTCTCTACACACACAGGACGGGCTCCACGGTTGTCCCCTTAATTCACTGCTGTGGGAAAATCTGAATTGAAACCAAAGATGGGGTAGGGGTGGGAGGGTCCTTTGCAGACCAGTCACTTCCCAAGATAATTACAAGGTGCAGGTGTGCTCAGGGACCCTTCTGAGGGCTTGCTCGTGACAAGAGTCCCCTGAGGAGGCACAGAGGAGGAAACTGAGGCCCTGAAGGCCAGTGAGGAGCAGTGGAGCTAGGCCCCAGGGCGGTGCGCTGACTGCCCCCTGTCCTGCTCTGGAAGGTTCCCTGACCCTCACTGTAGGTCCTCAGAAGGTCCTCCCTGGCACCCAAGGTGTGTGCACACCTGAGCACCCAGCAGTGAGCACCTGCTCTCCCCCCTGCCCCCAGCAGCCGGCCTGTCGGCCATTTCCCCCCCGCCCCCGGGCTGGGTGCAGGACCCCCCAGGCCCTGGCAGGGGCACACCTAAGGCTTCAGTGCAAAAGGCCAGACAAACCCCGTGGGAGGTACAATGCCATCACGAGTCTCCCAGCCACACCGTCCCTCGGGCTCCGTGGTCTGTGGCGGGCAGCATCCTCCTCCGTGCCCCCAGATGCCTCCACTGGGCCCCCTCACCAACTGTGCCCATCAGTCTTCCCAAATTTCGTCCATCAGGAGCTCCTGCCCCATGCCCTCTGGCTCTTGATTATCAGCTCGGGGCTCCCCAGAAGGAGTAGGGCTGACCAGCTCCCCAACAACTCCGGTGAGATCCTTATAAATCCTGGCACACCCACCCCGGCCCGACCGGATAGCGCTTCAGAAGCGAGGTCTCCAGCGACTGGTCACCCCTGATGTCTGCGAGGTCAGGGCGGACGTTTCACTCCAACCCGGGCCCCGTCGGCGCGCAGGGTGACCTGCTCTCTGAGCGAAACTGCCTAGCGCTTTACTCCCTCCCGGAGGCTGTCGGCGGGGGCGGTTTTGTTCCCCTGGGGACACTGGGCTGCGTCTGGAGACATTCCGGCCGCCACAGACGGAGGCGTGCTGACATGCGGCGGCCAGAGACCAGGGCTGTTGCTACCGGCCCTACTGTGCGCAGGACGGCCCCAGCACCGACACTCACTGCCCGAAATGCCAGGGGTGCCGAGGTGCAAAAGCCCTCTTGGCGTTTTCTCTTTACGGAGCTACTGGTTATCCGCTCAAAGGTCACCAACCACTGACCCAGCTCCGCGGAGGCTGTCCCTTCTCCCTCCCTCTCTCTGCCCCCAGGTTCTGACTCTCTGTCTCTCTGGGGCTGAGCCCCAGAACTGGCTTTTCTCTGGGCTCCCAGGTGCTGGTGGTGATGCTGGGTGGGACCCCTCTGCCCCCTCCGTTGATGGGACCTCCCCTTCCTCCACTGGCTTTCCTGCCACCTCTGTCTGCTTCCCACCGTCCGCCCTGGGGAGGTGGGTGCGCTCAGGGGCGTCCTGCTCAGCCCCGCACCCGTCCCCCTTCCCAGGTCTCATTCTAGCGGTCCCCAGCACAGCCCCGTCTGCTCTGGTTCTCTTCGTTCCCACCGCCTGGGGGTCCCGTCCGTTCCAGTATAACCAGTCCCACTCACCCAGTGACTTTCAGCCCTGCCGAGGACTACCGGAGATCTTCACAAAGGCACCGATGCCCAGACCCCTGCCAGAACCCGTTCAATGTGGAGTTTTGCGGGAGTGCTTAAGGCTCACCAGGTGATTCCGGTGTGCAGCCCTGGGCGAGGGCCACTGATGGAAAGCGTGGAAAATGTAAGAAAGTGCTCAAACCCACACAGATTCAAAACAAGGTGTTACCTGAGCTGCCAGAACCGAGACACATTATGACACAGTCTCTAGGGACATGAACCCCTAGTTCCAAGTAACCAACTTCCAGAAGACCTTCTGAAGCAGGGCCCTTTCCTAAGTGAGAACAGGGTACTCCCAGGGGAGAGGTGACAGCGTGGACTCGCATCTCGACACTCTGTGCCGGGAGGGACCCTCATGGAGCTGTCCATCCATCATCCAGGATAACTCTGTCGTCCAGTTTTTATTTTATACTTTATTCGTGTTTTCAATGGTCAGAGTTCTCCACGTGGCCTGTAACTGTTAAACCACAGGTATCCCCATCAACCACTGCTGACAGTGGGGTACGTCGGAGTCCCTCCAGATTTTCTGTGCTCGTTCTCTGTTATTCCGTAACACGCTCGGTCCGCCCGCCATCCCCTCGGGTCAACACCTGCACACGTACGTCCCTTTTTGACCGCGGACTTACTCCACGGAACAGCGAGTAGATACTCAGTGCCCTGCTGACCGGGGCCCGAAAATTCGGAGCGCCCCGCCGTTCTTACAGTGCGGTGATACCCGTCCCCAGTGTGTAGTTGAACACGGACTGTCGGATCCCTGAGGACAGGAGCATTTTGTCCTGTTCACTGTTCTGTCCCCTGTACCTGAGCCCAGAGAGCACTCGTGACGAACGACGGAACGGACAAACGGATGACATGGGCAAGTGACATGTGAAGGCGTCCCCACGGGCCAGTGTTTCATCTGACACCCTTGTTCCTAAATTCACGGGCTGAGTCAGAGGACTGAATATCGTCCGTTAACCAGTCCCGCCGGGCCCCTTCCCAGGACCGTGGTGGTGCGCACCCCGGCCCGCGACACTGTCACACACCTCCCTGGGCCCCTGCAGCCTGCTTGTTGAAATTTTGCTAAACTACCGGGTAAAAAACAGCATCCCTCTTGAGGAGCCTTTCTGAAAAACTGTTATCAGCTACTGCGTATTCCTGCTGTTTTTGACCTCTTCTCCGTGGCTCCGCTTTCCCTCCCTCCCTCTCCGCCGCAGGTCCTCGTGTGTCAGGGGCAAACATGCTCCCATCCGCTCTGGGCCTCGGACCACTGGGATGGCATCACCAAGTGCACGTTCAGCCGAGGGGCAAAGCCCGTCTTCCCCCGTGCACCTGGGAGATGCAGTCGCCGTGAGCTCGGGCCGGGCCCGGGACAGAGCCTCCCGCATCAGTCGGGCGTCCGTCCGGCGGACTCGGGCAGCTCCAGCGGGGTCTCCCGCACCCGAGTAGCCGTGGTGTGGGCCACAAAATGTGTTCAGTTCACCAAATAATGAACATCACAGAGGAAGTTCATCATTTAAATGATAGATTTAAAGTATTTGGAGTTCTTCCGAACGAGGAAGCTCAGAACAGCCAAAGAAACTAATTTCAGGAAAAAAAAAAAAAACCCTAATCCACTGAATTCTAATTTATCCCGAGCGGCTTATCTCTCCCAGCAGACGCGCCAAGAACACCTTTGACGGCGCCTCACAGGGGAACTGTTTTCTGTCTTGCAGCACTCCCTACAAAGTGAGACCTGTGGCCGTCAAGCAATTGTCTGGTAAGGCCCTGCTATCATTTTTAAAATTAAAAGAAAAGAAGGCTCCAGGCTGCCCCTGTGGTTGAATATATTATTAGGTAAGCATTTGAATCTAAAACCCTGTGCTATTACAGAATCCAAAGCCCTGCCTTAGATTCCACCCTCGACAGCCCCTTGGGGGCCTCCCCCCCATGCTGTCCCTTACTGACTCAGAGGGCGCTGGGTGACGTTCCGCCCGTGTCGTCCTGGACACAGGGCCTGTCCTGCTCACTCAGACCGTGAGCCGCCAAGGTGGGCCATCTGCAGCCCCCAGCCCCCAGGATGCTTCGTGTAGCCAGTGGTGTTGTTTTGCTAAAACCCATTTCCTTTTGGATCTTTTCCCTTATTTATGCATGATTCATGCATCATAAAATGTTCCCTTTTAAGTGTACATTTTGATGAGTTTTGAAAAATGTATCCCCCCCCCTTTAACTGTTGACCAGAATCAGGACACAGAACATTTATATTATCTGAAAAGGTTCTTCTGTGCCCCTTCCCAGGGAACCCCCTCCCTCAACCCCTGCTCTCTGTCAGCAGCTGACCTGCCTTCTGACACCGTAGATTTGTCTGTCCCAGAGCGTCGTATAAAAGATACCACATAGTACATGTGTTCCTTTCTGAATTTCTGACTCAGCCTAATGTCTTTGAGACTTGTCTGTGTGTTGGGTGTCATTCCTTTTTATTGCTGGGGAGGTTTCATGGTATGGCCGGACCACAGTGTGACTACCCACCCACCTGCCGAAGGACACCCAGCTTATTTCCAGTCTGCGGCCTTCATGAATAAGGCTGCCATGAGCGTTCAAGTGCGTGCCTCGTGGGGACACGTATTCTCATTTCTCTTGGAGTGAACGGGATTGTATTTGTTTCACTTAAAAAACAAAACGAAATGAAACAAAACAAAAGCTAATCCCTTTTTCCCAAAGTGGCAGCACCACCTTGCATTCCCACCCACGGTGTGTGCGTGCTCCTAGTCTGCACTCGGGACTGTCCGCCCCTTTCCTGTGAACCATTCTAATGGGCGTATGGTGATACTGCATTGGATTTGAATTTGTGTTTCCCTAGTGACTAACGAGGGGGAAAGTATTTACTAACCGGTCATAAATCTTCTTCCGTGAACTGCCACCATCGTGGAGGCTTGCTTCCCATACTGTCAAATAGCGCTCCTGATCTGTCGGACACACCCCGTTAGTCAGATGTGTCTTTGTGAATATTCTCTCCCCGCCTGACTCACTGTTTCGTTTTCCTGTCAGAGCCTTTCAGTGAGTAGAAGTATTAGATTCTGATTTAGGCCTGGAGGACCCATTTTGTTCTTTTATGGTTTCGCTTTGGGTACCCTAAGAAATCTTAGTTCATGCCCTGTCTGTGGGGTCATCGGCCATGCTTTCTTCTACAAGTTTTATTTTTTTTAGCTTGCACATTTAGGTCTGTGATCCATTTCAAGTTGACTTTTGTGTATGGCCTCGCCAAACGTAGAGGCTTATTTTCCTTTTTAAACTGTGAAGTTAATTTAATTTTTATTTTTTTATAAGATTGATTTTTTTTTTTTGTAAGATTCTGAAGAACAGAATTCTGAAGCCACCCGTCGTCGGGTGCTGGGCAGTGAGTGATGAGGGACTGAGGCATCTGGGCCTTTTCTCGCTTTGACACCTGACAGTGTTTACACATGGGTACTGGTTGCTTTAGAAGCTCTTTGAAAGCTCTTAATTCAGTCCTCTTGATAGTAGATGTTAGAATAAAGTAGGAGTTCTAACTTTTTCTAGAATGAAAATTCCTTTTTAACGTAAAAGGTACTCGAGCCCCTGACTTGGTAACAAATGTGATATTTTTTACATCGTTATTAACTAAACCCCATACTTTTTTCGGATTTCACTAGTTTTTCTCCTGATGTCCTTTTTCCCCTCCAGCGTCCAAGCCGCGGTCCAGCCCGTCGTGCGCTCATCGACGGGGTCTTCCCGGTTGGCCCTGGTCTCGCGGGTGCTCACACTCCCCTTGTTTGGCCTCAGAGCATCTGTAGAGTGTCCCCCAGGCTGGGTTTGTCTGATGTTTTTCTCATGCTCAGCCCAGGGGTGTGGATCTGGGGAAGGAATGAGGGCCTCCAGGACATCCTCTCGACTCACTACCGTCTGGGCTGTGAAGTCACTGTCTTTCCCCTTCCTTACTCTGTTCTTTGGAAGGCATTGCTCAGTCCAGCCCTCCTTCAGGTGGGGGAGAAAAGGACTGACGTTCATTCTCTCTGTGTGGATATCCACTTGCTCCAGAACGTTTGTCGGAAAGACAGTCCTTTCCCCCAGTGAATTATCGCGACATCCGCGTTAACACTCAGTTGACCATGTATGTGTGAGTCTTTCTCTGGACTCACCATCCAGTTCCATCAACTGACTACACGTCTGTGCTCAAACCCCTGCCACGCTGTCTTGATTACTGTGCATTCACGGTTAAGTTGTGAAACCAGCAAGTCCTCCGATTTCTTTCTTCTTTTTCAAAAATATTTTACTTATCCCAAGCTCCTTTTATTTTCAAATAAATTTTAGAATCCGTCTGTCAGTTGCTACTAAAAAAAAATTTAAAAAGTCTGCTGGGACCTTGAAATTGTATTGAATACATAGAACACTCGAAAAGAATTACTCTCTGTAATGTTGAGTCTTCTAATTCATGAATATGGCATCTCTCGATTTACTTAGGTTTCTCTTAATATCTCTCAACATATTATAGTCGTCGGGGTAAAGTTCTTGAATAGATGTTGATAAATTTATCACTAAGCATTTAATATTTGTAATGCTATTGTCAATAGATTTTTAGGTCAATTTCCAGCAGTTTTTTGTTTCTAAAAATATAGTTGGCTTTGTGTATTGATTTAACTAAATTCACTTAGCAGATCTAGTGCCTTTTTGTAGATTTCCTATGATTTTGTACATCTGCCAATAGAGAATTGCTTCTTCCTTTTAGATCTGGATGTCTTCCGGTTCTTTTGTTTCTTGGGGTCTTGACTTGTTGCCCTAGCTAGGGTATCTAGTACAAGAGATGTATAGGGTGTGAGAATGCAGATTCTTGGCTGTGTTCTCATGTTAGAATGAATGTGAAGTTTTCCACCATCAGTTATGATGTTCGCTGTAGGGTTTTTTATAGGTGCCCTTTATCAGGTTGAGGATTTTTTTTCTTAATTCCTAATTGGTTGAGAGTTTTAATCATAAATTTGTGTTAGATTCTGTCAAATACTTTTCCTGCATCTATTGAGATGATCGTGGTTTTTACTCCTCTGTTCTGTTAGTGGTGGATCTGTTGATTGATTTTAAAACTTTAACCTTGAATTCCTAGTATAAACTCTATTTGGCCATGGCATACTGTCTCTTTGTTTTGAATTCAATTTACAAATGTTTTATGAAAGATTTTTGTGTCTATATCAACAAGGGATCCATAGTCTTATTTTTTTACAATATGTTCAACTGGTTTGGGCTTTAGGGTGATGCTGGCCTCATGGGTTGAGGGAAATGCTCCACCCTCCTGCCTTCTGGAAGAGTTTGTATAGGGGTGGCACTGTTTTTACCTTAAGCATTTCATAGAATTCACCAGTGAATCCTCTGTGCTTGGAGTTTCTTTGTGGGAAGGTTTTAAACTATGAATTCAGTGTCTTTAGGAGGTAAGTGCGTCTGGGTTTTCTGTGTACTTGGGATTGACTTTAGGAAGTGCTGCCCATTCCAGTAAAGATTCATCTGAGAATTTATTGGTGTGTTGGAGCTTGGGAAGTCCTTGCCATCCCTTTTATGTCTATGGGATTGGAATGAGACCTGCTCTTTCTTTCAGGATACTACTAATTTATATCTTCTCTCTTTTTAATCAGTTAATCAGTCTGATTTATACATTTTATTGATTTCTTTTTTTAAGAGCTAGCTTTGAACTTCATTGGTTTTCTCCATTGTGTGTCTGGTTCCTATTTCAATGATTTCTTCTCTTACCTTTTTATTTCCTTCCTTCTACCCACCCCGCGTCTAGTTTGCTTCTCTTTTTCTGGCTTCCAAAGGTGGAAGTTTCAATTATTAATTTTAGATCTTTCTCTTTTTTACATAATATTTGAGGTTAAAAATATCCCTCTAAGTACAATTTAGCTGTATCTCATAGGTTTTGATGTGTTGTGTTTTCATTTTTATCCAGCTCAAAATATTTTCTGATTTACCTTGTAGTTCCTACTCAGATCCACTTGTTACTTAGAAGTGCATGTTTGATTTTCAAATGGTTGTGTATTTTCCAGTTATCTTTCTGTTATTGATTTCTAAGTTAATTCCATTGTGCTCAAAAGTGGACCCTGTATGACTCCTGTCTTTTTTTAATTTATTGAGATGCATGGTGTATCTTGGGGACTGTTCCAGATACACCTGGCAAGAGTGTGTATCTTGCTGTTATTGGGTGGAATATTCCACCAGTATCAGTTAGGTCAAGTTAGTTGATAATGTAGTACAAGTTTCCTGTATCTTTATTTTTCTGTCTACTTGTTCTATCAATTACTGAAAGATGGGTATTGAAAGATCCGAGTCCTTTGTGATGTGTTCACTGCTTTTCTCAGTTTGTCAGGTTGTGCTTTGTGCATTTTCTATTCCTGTTGTTGGGTGCATACTTATTTAGGATTGTTGTATCTTCTTAATGGGTCAGTCCCTTTAGCCTTAGGAAAATGTGTCCTTTATCCTTGGTTCTATTATATTGTCCTTCTCTCCTGTTAATACAGCTACTACCTGGGCTTTCTTAGGCTTAGTGCTCACATGTTATACTCTTTCCATCTTTTTACTTTGAATATATCTGTGTCTCTATTTGGAGCAGGTTTCTTATTGGGAGCATTTATCAATATTGGCAATTTCAGCCTTTCATTTGGAGCTGTTAAGCCATTTACAATAAACATAATCATAGATACAGTTGGGTTAAATCTACTACTCATTTTGCTTATTTCATTCATTCTTTTTTTTTAAATTTTTTCTCTCTTTTCCTATATCTTT